AGTGTTTGCAACATTGGCTTGACACAGCTTGTGTCCCCAATCAGTTCAAGATCTCAATGAAGGCCAATAAGCTGAAACAGAGCACGGAGGGATTATGGGTTTACTCACGTTAGGAGTCTCTGCTTCGCGATGATGAAATCCGGCTGCCCATTCTTGTAGATGAGGTAGGCATTTGCTTGCACCCAGATCCACACGTTGTGCTTGGTCAGGAGCCTGAAGATAGTCATTCCACTCTGGCCTGTCTTCATCACTGGAAAAGGGACAGAAATGAAGCCTTAAGCGCTGAAAAGTGGGCAGGAATTGTGGGAAGAAAGAAAAAAAGTGAACAAAAGAGACAAACTGCAAGGAAGAGGGCAAACGAGAGAACGTGCACAAAAAAGGGTGCGCATGAGAAAGAGAGCGCACACGGGACAGTGTGAGAGCGCACAACGGAGTGACAGAACGTATGAAAGAGAAAGCAGGGCCCGAATGAGAGACAGCATGAGAGAAAACATGTGAAGGAGAGAGAAAGTCTAAGGGAGAGTGCACGAGGGGGAAAAAGTGTGTGTGTGTGTGAAAGAGAGAGAGCATGCAGAACTGAGTGCAAAAATGGCGAGGGGCGTGTAAAGGGATGAAAGAAAGAGCGCACAGAAGAGAGAGAATGTGAAAATGACAGAGAAGGAAAGTGAGAGAGAGAAGGAGAAATGAGGCAAAGGAAGAGACAGAGAATCATGCCGACAAGAGGATAGAATAGAGAGAGGGAGGAGAGGGAAGGCAGAAAGGAAATTGTGTCCAGGATCCGACGCGATTCACTCACATTAAGATGGTTTTACAATAGACCACAATAAGACATATAAACTAAAGTAGGCCATTCAGCCCATTGAGTCTTCTCCAATATACAATGATATACCAATCCCCCATAACCCTCGATCACAAATCTGTCTGCCCCAGCCTTGATGATGATAACACATTCTCAAACTGTAAGCTCAGTACAACTGAAGCCTTCATTCACCTCATCCCCCATTCTCTCTTATATTTTTCAACGCTGAGCTATCCTACACCATGCTTGTTGGCTTTCTAACTCTACATCAGGATACACGAAGATCTGATCTGCAGAAAACCAAGTCACTTCACTTTCTCCTGGATATTCTGTCCAGTCCTGGTTTTGTACAACGCAGTGCCCAGGGTGTGACAGAAATGAAATAGGGACAGGAGGAAGAAAAACAAAACACAGGGGAGAATAAAATTCAAAGTAGCCAATGTCCAACCGTGGGTTATTACCCAGTACTTACACTGAACATGGTTGTCAGCACAGTAAAGCATGTCATCAGCATGAATAAATTGATATCCAGACCCTCGCATACACAGCTCCAACTCCGAGTAACCCAGCACACTCTTCGCTCTAGAAATTACAACAACAAT